TTTTTTTTTTTTTTTTTTTTTTTTTTTTTCCCAAAAATCATGTTCGCTCTACCTCCCTCTGGAAATGATGCAGTGTAGAACTGAAATTTCCAGGACGTAACTTTACTTTAAAACAAAATCAAAGCTTGCTGTAACCTGGAAACTGTTTTTCTAGGCTTGTTGTAGAACAGACCTTTTTAGCCAAAGGAATGTATACATTGCTTTATAATCTATATCTTCTAATTATTACCTATATTTTGTCTGCAGCAATCTACGTATCTGTGGCAGTCTGCTTGGCTTTAACAAATAGATGAGCGGTGAGGAAAAGGATTGTAATGTTAAATAATCAATGAACAACAGAATAAGAGGTTTCTTTGCTGGAGTTTAATTTGAAATTTTTAATTTTATTCTATTTCATTACTTTTTTCCATATAGGAATCAACAGAACAGCTCTCAGAGAGATAAAGTTGTTGCAGGAACTAAGCCATCTGAATGTTATTGGTGTAAGTAAAATGAATGCTACTTCCAAAATCAGTTCCCAAATACTGATACAGTTTCAAACTGAAATTTAAAACTAGTTATCAGAAAGCTACTTTATTGTAGATTCTTTGCCCAAGGTGAACAGTGAAACAGTTGTTGCAGAAAAACGTCTGTTTTCTTAATAAATACAAAGTCTTTTTATTTTTAAATCCTTTACTGTTTAGCTCATGGTTATGGAAATCAAAGGTGGGAAGGCTTCTAGAAATTTAGATCATCTGATTTTTATTTATTTTATTTATTTTTATATTTCAATTATACAAATGCAAACGAGTGCAGTGTTAAATTTACCTGAACTGGCTAGCGGCAGAGGAAATTGTGACAGCCAAAAGCAGGCTTTGTAAGTAACAGTGAAGTGGGATTCACATAGTTTTTATTAGGTTTTATTGCTGTCACTTAAACCCATTGTTAGGTAGTGTGATTCCTGTCTTGTTTCAGTCTTACTTAAATTGACTTCTGTCTACAGATACTTAGCGGGAGCTGAAGGTACTTTAAAATTAGCAAATGTAGGTCATTCAGAACTTTGCCATAACCACTAGACCAGATAGGAATTCTCTGTAGTTTTTATTTAGCATTTTGGACTGGAGGTACAGTACTCTTCTGGACTGTGAACTTAACTTTCAAAGTGGTTACAATACACAGAGAAGTCTGCTGAAATGGGTTGGTAAGTAAAGTGGAACTGATA